TATATATATATATATATATATATATATATATATAAACAGTAGTTAACTTGAGAAACGCTTGAGAGACAAAGCACAAGAAATGTTTAATAATCTAGTGTTAAATTACATATTGCTATATTAAATTTCTAATTTAGTTTGGATGCTTTCATTGTGACTGAGATACCAAACATATTAAATTTACCCTATGCATAATTTGGCTGTTTGAAATTTTAGCACTCAAATCACTAAAGACATTTATAATGTTAAAAAAAAATCTATTTCAGATAAATGCTCCTGTTCATCAAAGAATCCTGGAAAAATGTATCACAAAAATATTAAACAGCTGTTTTCAACATTAAAAATAAACCGATATGTTTCTTGAACAGCAAATCAGAATGATTTCTGAAGGATCATGTGATGCTAATGATGCTGAAAATTCAGCTTTACATCACAAGAATAAATTACATATTAAAATATATTACAATAGAAAACAGTTAAAATTAAAATTGCAATAATTTCACAGTATTACTGTTTTTATTGTAATTTCGATCAAATAGATCAAATAAAAACATAATTTTTTTCACAAACTGCAAACTTTTGAACGATAGTGTATATGATGAAAGTGTTCATGCAGACACCACTGAAGACGACCACCCTGTACATTTTACACACTCATTTAAAGCGACAGAACTTTTTGAAACGTGGGATTATGGCAGCTGTAAAGAACTTGAATTCAAGAGCATTTCAGCATTTGTTTTCATGCATATATGACAATGATGATGTCGTTGCTCTTCACCCTACAGCTCTGGATGCCGCCTTGAATGACAAAGTGAAAAAAGGCACCAAGAGAAAACGTGTGGTAGAGGACACCGTAGAGACGGCGAAGAGGCGCTCTGCACGTGTCCGCAACACCAAATGCAAGAAAGAAGAGAAGATTGACTTCCAAGAACTCCTGCTCAAATTCCTCCCCTCTAGGTGTTTATTTTAATATTGATCTATTCAGGGGTTTGTTTCCAACCTGCTGTGTGACCATATCAAGCAATGCACTATAAGACATTTTGTCATTTTCTATTTCTGTTTTGTCATGCTGAGTGAATCCTAGCAATGAAAACACATTCGACTGAAATCTTGCTGCACATTAGTTGTGTATTAGATATCAGCCATGTTCTTAGAAATTCTTCCTTTGTCACATTGACTTTATTTCCAGACTGAAAAAGTTTGAAGATGATGAAGATGAGGAGAGCCTGAGTAACATGGACTCACAGTGTGACGGCAAACCTGGTTCCCAGTTGAACCGTGGATCCAACTCCTCTGAGTACATTGTGTCTATGGAGTCAGGTACAGAAACTGTGCTTTTCTATTAGTCGCTGTTTTATTCCTTTCTGCATTTTCTTGATTTTTCTCTCTGCTCTTCATGGTTCCTCAGAGCGGAAGGAAGTTCATGCGTTCCTGCTGGCGAACATGCAGAACGGCGGCATCCTGGAGCTGATGATGCGGTATCTGAAGGTGGTGGGGCAGAAGTTTCTGGAGGAGTGGCCAGCGGGCCACAGCACAGCGGTGCTGGATCTCTTCAACTGCTGGAGGAAACACAGCGCTGGCCTGCCCAACCCACTGCTCAGAGATTCCAGCAACCAGCACATAAAGGTGAGCCTGTTTGTGAGGTTCATGCCAGAACAAATTTGAAAGACATTCATGGTTTTGTTTGAGACACTTAGTAGCAAGTAAAGGAGACTTCCATGTGCAATTTAGCTTTCATGTTTGAAGTCACATTGAAGGGATGGTTCACCCAAAAATGAAAATTTGCTTTTAATTTACTCACCTTCAAACCATTCAAGATGTAGGTGACTTTTTTTTTTTTTTTTCTTCAGTAGAACAGTAAAGAAGATTTTTTGCTGAAACCATGAGTCCTTGGTGATTCATAAAATGCAAGTCAGTGGTCATTTTGACAGTCAAAAAGTGTATTTTATTCTATTTTAGGGGTGGGTGATATACCAGTAGACACAATTAACCGGTAGAAATTTGTCAACCAGTAGAGATTTTCTACTATTGTCTCGATTGCGGTTTCACGCTCACGTGACATTGCTGTGCTACATGGTCACGAAAACGTATCGTTTACACACATTTGTAAGCGTTGTGGTATAAAAACAAGTGATTTTAAACAGTTTAAAAGCAAACAACAACGAAATAACTCATTTCGCTGTATGCGCGCTCTGCACATGAAGACGGAGTATTGAACGGAGTGATTTTTGCCGCTTTATAGGCCTTGAATGGTTACCCACACTTGTATGTGTCCAAATGGCCGTCTTTGCAAATATCCTCATAAACACACTAATTTAGGTCTTAAAGGATCATGCCACCTGAACTTGCTATATTTCTCCCAGTGTGTCTACTGAAAAAAGACAGAGACAGATAACTTAATGAGTGTTTTTAGCAAAAACTAGGCCACATGTTTTTTTTAATGTATTTTTAAATGTAATTTATTTCTGTGATGCAAAGCAATTTTCAGCATCATTACGTCAGTCTTCAGTGTCACACCATCCTTCAGAAATCATTCTAATATGCTGATTTGCTGCTCAAGAAACATTTTTTTTATTATCAGTGTTGAAAACATTTGTGCTGCTTCAAATTTGTGTGGTGCATTTTTTTCTTTGATCAATACAAAGTCCAAAAGTACAGCATTTATTTTAAATATAAATCTTATTTACCTCAAACTTTTAATCTGTAGTGCATATTTCTAATATTTTATTAAATTGTAGTAGATTTATGGAAGCATTTGGGTAGCAAAATTCATTTTGAAATGTAATATGCAAAATGACAATGCAATATGTAAAATGGCAATGCATTTCTTTATTTAAATTTACATTTTCCCATACATATTTGCAACATTTAGTGCAAAATGAAAATTCAATGATATAATTTACATTTGCCATTTTCTACAATTTCTAGTTTTAATATGTAAATTAAAAACGTATTTTAACGCTTTATAAGTTGCAAAATTAAAATGAAATTGTATTACCAAAATTAGGGCTGCACGATTGTCAAAAATCATAATTGTCGATTATTCCCTTGTAATTGTAATTGCGATTATTAATTATGATGATCACAATTTACATTGATGTTTATACCATTGTTTGATGCAACTGCATGCCGCATTTTTATATGAAAATAAACAAGCTGAAAACACTAACTGAAAAACCTTTAGTGCTTTTCTATAGTATTAAGCCTCAAATGTCAACTATACATCGGATTGGTTTCTTCTTTAAATTATATAAAAAGTTAAAATATGAATGGTATTATAATGTTATACTAAAACTAAAACAATGGAAAAACCCTTAAGATAACATGTAGAAAGAAAAAAAAAACATATCTTAAGCGTGCAGAATAACATAACTGGACTTTGAACGATTAATTGCCGCTTTGAACGATTACGTAATTTTAGCATCCATAATTGTAATTGCGATTAGAATTTTGATTAATTGTGCAGCCCTAATCAAAATTGATTAGATATGTTTAAAGGTCAGACAAGTGAGATGGAAAAAATCACCATCCTCCTGCCCAACCTCAGTGTGGACAATGCCATTTCAATAGAGGAGGTACAGTACAAAAGAAGTTGATCTCTCAAGACACTGTCACCTCTTGTTTCGTAGAAGATTAGAAGTGCTGTTCAGTAGAAACAGCAACATAGTATTTCCACACATTTGGTCATGTGACACTCATACCTTGTTCATGGTTATGTTATTGATGATGACAGCTTAACGGAGAGAGAAAAAAGGAGAGAGCTCTTAAATTAATTAACATTTTCACTAAAGTGGGTGAAACTATGACTCTTTTTAAAATAAATGTATATTCAGATTTATCTTTAAATGCAAGAAAAGATCAGAAACATTTAAATGTTTAAAACTGAATACAGGTGTATCAAAATAAATAAAACCTTTTGATTTTAAGTGCTGGAAATCCATTTATCCTTTTTTGAAACTTCTGCGTCATCGTGGAGAGCGCAGGTCAGGGTCGCTTATCAACGGCAGACGTCACGAAAGCACAAGCTCCCAAGCGCTTTGGAAAGAAGGAGAAAGCGGCGCGGCTGGCGTTTTCCACACGTTTTAGGCGCGACATGTGAACAGCCCCAAAGTCTGTCTACACTGGTCCGTTGCATATCATTTGAACTTTGTGTCAGTACGTAAAAAACAAGGCATCAGTTTACTGTCGGGGATTTGTCGTGCCGTGCCGCATCCAGTGTAGTCCGTGACACAGCATCACTGATTAAAATGGGTTCATTTTATTTTGTCGCGCCGCTCGTGTCCGGTGTAGACGCGGTGAGAGCCACGCAGATGCATGTGAACCCCGTATTCTGCGTCTATTTGTGCCTGAAATACTGTGCTCTGCAAGTATCCTTGTAAACACAGATGCGTATGGCTTAGGTGAAGGTAAACAATTGAGAAAGAAAATGGATGTGTAACAGTAGCCTATATTGGTTTACAGCAGTTTAATGTTCCTGAGGCTTTCTGTGTTATGAATGTTAATCAAACAACAAAACACAAAGAAAAATCACTTTTGTAGCTTTAACACCGATTTATTAGATTTAATTTATAGTGAAAACTATGCAGTGTTATTTTACATTTGATTATTCAATTTCTGTACCTTAGTACTGTTAGACTTACCTGAAAAATATAAAGCACTGCTTATTTCATTTGTATCTTTGTTCTGTTATTTATCTATGCTTGTAATTTGTTTATTTCCTATGCTGATTTACTCGCCTACAAAATCACCCCAGTCATTGATTGCCTTTTGGCGTTAAAATAGTACTGTTAGGATTTACTAAAGACGTGCAGTGAAGAATTAGCGCTGAAAAGGTGTGGACACAGTTATTTTTGCGCCTGACCGTATTGAATATGCATTTGTAGGAGTTTCCCTTTCAGATGCAAAATTTATGGGAGGTGACTAGTATTAAAATGAATCACGCAATGCGATTTACTAACATTTGCGCTCATCAAATTACTGGCATTTGCGCCATTATTTAATGCCCAATAAAAAGCATGGCTTAAACTATTTTGTGCTGGAAATGGCTGCTTTTGTCACCCGAAATCACCCGCAGAAATTTTCTACTCCCATCGGCTCTGTTTTGGAATTGCGCTCTTGCGTTTATTTTCTCTGTTTAGTAGGGCTTGGTTTTGACACAAATTTCACGATTCGATTCTCATTCACAAGCTTTCCATTCGATTACCAATTCGATTCGATTTGATTCAATATAGATTATTTTGGATATATATCAGGTACAGTACATACCAAATGTTCTCAAGGAAAAAAAATCTCTCAACTAATGCTGTAAAATATTAATGAAAGTCAGTTGGTACAACATTACTATAATATTGAAGGTTAAAATTGACTGATTTGTTAAAATTACACTTAATGAAGTTTTTAAAATAATAGAAAGTTACAGTTACATAATATTTCTACTTCAATTCATTTTTTTTATATAAACATAATGAAACTTGATGGATTTAGTCAAACAAATTAAACATTGAAGAACAGTAAACTGTATAATGAATGTTATATGGTGCATATATTTAGCAAAATGCCCCTCTCTACAGTTTATTTTTCTGACTAATGAGTTTGTCACCGAATATGTTTTTTTGAGGTAAATGTGACGTTACATGACATTGTTTACAAGCCGTTACGATGTTTTTGCGCGACTGAAACACTGATTGAGCGATTATTTGAGACATGATACGGATTGTAAAGTTGTACTCTTTCTTTTAACTTACCTTCGGATGTTTAGTCATGTTTATTTTGTGCAGAAACTGGTATTAATGTGGAGGAGATGATCAGCTCTACCGCGTCTGTAGAACTGAGGCGCTACAGCGATCTGTCACTCCACATTAAACAGCGCCAAAATGGCATTTATTGTTTGAATACTGCAATGCAATGGACAGAATTTAAAATCTGAGACTTTGTTTCATATTAAAAGTACCAAAGCACAATGCTTATTGCGATATATTGGATGGGAGGTGCCCTTCAATGTTCTGTCCATTAACTGAATACAGACTAGAATAATTGATTCTTGGGATTTAAGAATCGATATCGTTCCGTAAAAATGAGAATCGATTAATATCGAGATATCGATATTTTTTACCCAGCCCTACTGTTTAGTAAATCTGGCCCTAAATTGATTAAATGTGACGTTTACAATGTTACGAAAAATAATAATTTCTTATAAATTACCGTATTGACCCGAATATAAGACAATGTTTTTTTTCTTGGAAATACATCGGAAAAAATGCGGTCGTCTTATATTCTAGGTCTAGACTTTGACATGTCAATAATACACCCACAACAATAGGTGGCGCCAAATACGCATAAAACGAGTGTGCCATAAAATACGTAACGTAATGCGTGTTGTAAAGATCGCGAGTAAAATCAAAAGAAGCAGAAAAGCTTACAGCTGCATGAGTCGTGACTGTCACGTTAGCCTGATGGGACCAAACTCCCTTTGTGATTTTAAAACGTAAGACAGTACCCAGATTTGAAGACTACAGTAAGATTTAACTTCTACTGTTAATAAGATTTTGGTAGGCTACTATTAGATGGATAGCCTAAATGTCCTAATTCAGATGGGCTACCTGTTTTTTAAAAAAATGTTATGGTATATCAAAAAATGTATATTTTTTAAATGTGATTGTTGGTACATTTTACCAGTTTTTATCATACTTTCAAAACAAAAATTAAAATAGGAAAAATATGCAATATGAAAATAATTGAAGACAAAATGTGTTTTACTGTGAAGATTTGGTTTTTAAAAAGCCTTTTTCCAAAAGGTACATCTGGAAAAAGGGGGGGTTGTCTTATAATTAATCAAAGAATCCAAAATGTTTCACTGTTTCCATAAAAACTGTAATAATAATCATCAATAAGCATAAATTCAGCTTATCAGAATGATTTCTGAATGATCATGTGACACTGAAGGCTGGAGTAATGATTGCTGAAAATTCAGCTTTGCATAATAGGAATAAATTACATTTTAAAATATATTTACATAGAGAACTGTTATTTTATATCGTAATACAGTTTTTATTTGATTTTTGATTAAATAAATGCAGCTTTGATGAGTTTACGTTTTTAGAAGAATTCTCTTACCAACTCCAAACTTTTGAAAGGAAATATATGATGCATTACAATATATATAATTAGGCATTATGAATATCTTTGTACTGCAGTGTATATAGGCTTCAAGTAAAGTTACTGCATAAATGCATCCTATTTTTCTCACAGACATACTTTATCCGTGGACAGGTTCGATTCATATCAGAGCTCAAAATGATATAGCCAGCATGTTATTATGGGAATAATGACTAGCTTCACTCAAAGTGTGCAATATCCCATTTGTCTTAAATGTGACGTGTATGACCGAACATTTCCTCAACCATCAGTTCTACAAAAGTGTGGCGTTTTCAGACACTTAACCTGTTGACCCCACATCCGTCTTTGTTTTTTCTCTCCCCAGAGCTCCCTGCTGCGGCTGAAAGACTACAGCTCCTGCCTCGAGACATCTGAAGTGTCTCTCAATGAGGCCATACAGCACTTGAACTCTGGATTACCCAGCAGCCCCTCTGCAAAGGAAGAGTGGGTGTCCACCGTCACGGCCCTGCTGAGGGCCATCGAAAGCTGCATCACAGACAAGCCTGAGTTGCTCATCCACACCCCACGATCCACAAACCTCCCGCGCCTCGCCAACAACCTCATACAGGTCTGTGTGGATTCATGGGAGCGTGTTTGTTGCTATACGATCATAATAATAAGAAATGTTTCTTGCGCAGAAAAATCAGCATATTAGACTGATTTCTGAAAGAACACGTGACACTGAAGACTAATTGGAGTAATCTCATTTTTTAACTGCTGTCTTTGTGTTCATTCTCTAGTTGATTGCCAACAGCATGGTCTTACCCGATGACCCCAAAGAGGCTCATTTCTCATCACTGCTGCCATGGATTCTGCTGTACCACCTCATCAAACAGGAAGAGGCAGCCTTTGACTGCATGCTGCGGCAGCACATCACAGATGAAGATGATGATGGTATAAATAAAGAAAGATAACAGCATTTCAGTGTAGTGATAATCTTAGTATATCCTAGTGTTTTTGACACAGCTGTGTGTGTTTGTGTTCTGTAGAGGATGATACTCCATTGCTGCCCTCCTCCCTCATGCTTCTGAACACGGCGCACGAGTACCTGGGCCGTCAGTCCTGGTGCTGCAACTCTGATGGCGCTTTACTCAAATTTTTTGTGAGTCTCATACAATATCATGCCGACACGTGTTTCTGTGACACGTATCTGTGCTTCTGTAATCGGGACCTGATTTTTGTCATGGGTATTATGAATTATTTTAATCATTTCACTTGTACATTAGTAATATTGTGCATTAACGATATTGTGGTCTTATTTAAAGGGATAGTTCACCCAAAAATGAAAATTGTCATTAATTACCCTAATGACGTTCCAAACCCGCAAGACCTTCGTTCATCTTCGGAACACATATTACAGGGCTCCAGACTCATTCTTCCCACTGGTCACTCTTTTGCGACTAACTTTCTCAGTTGGTCACACAAGCACATGATTTTATTTTTTTTATTTTTTTTGCGCTACAACATGGGATTAATCAATGTGTGCTGATGAACTTTTATCATAGTTTATAGTTATATGGAAATGAAAGTGGTTAACATTCAACACGTTCTTTTTCATCAGTAGTATTATTTGTGATTTGAATTTTTTGAACGGGAGTTGCTCTTTTGCTTTGTTAAAAGCCGGGCTTCGGGTGCTTTCACTTTCGAATTCACGATCTTGTTGTCACGTTTCACAAGAAAAGATAATTGTCTGTTTTGCTTACATCTACACACCTTTCACTTTTTAAGACTAAAACGTAAGACCTTCGTTCATCTTCGGAACACAATTTAAGATATTTTTGATGAAATCTGAGGGCTCTCTGACCCTCCCATAGACAGCAAGGTAACTACCACGTTCAAGGTCCAGAAAAGTACCAAGATGATTGACAAAGTAGTCCGTGTGACGTCAGTGGTTCAACTGTAAAGTTACGAAGCTACGAGAATACTATTTTGTGCTAAGAAAACAAAAATAATGACTTTATTCCACATTTTCGTCTCTACTGCGTCACTTGTGGACGCGCGTTCACGACAGTACCATGACGCGAGCGTGTGGCAGCGCCGGCCCTGACCCAGATCTGGCATAATGACGTCATCACGCCGGATCTGGGTCAGCGCCGGCGCCGCCACACGCTCGCGTCATGGTACTGTTGTGATACATTTGAAATGAGAATGCTGTCTATGGGAGGGTCAGAGAGCCCTCGGATTTCATAAAAAATATCTTAAATTGTCTTGCGGGTTTGGAACAACACGAGGGTGAGTAATTAATGACAGAATTTTCATTTTTGGGTGAACTAACCCTTTAATTAAAAAGCACAACAACAATAATACAGTAAGATACAATGACAAACTAGCTTACAAAAATGAATAAGATGAGGCATGGCATACACCACATGCTGTATTATATACCGACTAATAGATTACAGAAAGTTTAGCAAACACTGAGGAATCAAAAAAATAAATAAGAATCATATTCATCACTAATACAAACCTTTATAATATCCTGCTTCACTCAGAAATGTCACATAACAAAGTGAAACTGAATGTTTCTTTACATATACATTCATTAATTTAGCAGACACTTTTTTTTTTTTTTTTTAAGGAGGCAATAACAGGAGAAGTGCTAGCAATACAAAGTTTCAACAAGCTGTCACAGGGAGGAATATAAGAAATTGTGACAGCATAGAAGTGTTTTTTAAGAGACAGCAGAGTCTCGTTATAAGGATAGTTGACCAGAAATGAAAATTTTCCCTCTAATGAAAGTCCACGCAACCATTTGATATTATTGTTTGATGTGCAAGAACCAATTATGTAAATGATATGACAGAAAATGATGACAAAATGTAAATTTTGGGGTGAAATAAACTTTTAAGCTAGGGTTTAAGCTGTTCTTTTAATAAATTAGCTCGCAACGGTACGGCAACTACTAACAAAAGCATTGTAATTTTTGTCGTTATCAAACTGAAAACACATTGAAAAAGGCTGAATGGCTTTTTTTGGTCCAGACAGTGTTATTGATTCATGACCCAGATGTTTATGTAATGTATCGCCAGGTCCGTGCTGATTTAGGAACAATTTAGTCTCAAGCTGACTTTTTTCAATGCATTTGATTCAATTCATTAAACTGAATCAACTTCCCAATTCTGCTTGATAGAGAAGACAGTCAAGGAGAGTGTGGTTGATTCACTTGTTTTTCTATGCCTTTTCTCGTTCAATATACTTTGTGTAATCACTCAATGTTTTCTGCCCACTAAACGGCTCTGAATGTTTCATGAACAACAATGATTGTCACACTAAACCATTACATGTTGGGAAAAACTGTAAATAAAGCTGTGATATTTTAGCTTTGATATGATATGCTACCACAAATTGTAGTGAAGTCAATGGTTTTGACTTCAGAGTCATGTTAGGGAATTACCGAAGTCTCCTGCGTACGCCTTTTATGTCTTGGATATCTAAGAAGCTTTATAAAGAGAGAAGGAGAACTGTCCCTGTGCTAGTGAAGGTAGGTGGATGTTGGGTAGGATGAGCTGGCGGTCTGTTTCAGCAATAATTCAGTGATTGATTATCTTTTGGCAGCAGGAGTCACATTGATCATTTAGCCACCCACACACCAATTATGCAGGACTGCTCTGTACACAGGAAATGCTGTGTACACCACCGAAGTACATTACCTAGGTGTTCTGCACCTATTCCTGTGTCTCTGGAGGAAACAGATTGCGTTGTGTAGATGCTGCTTGTGTTTTTGCAGGCATCTAGCAAATACTGAACTGCGCTTAGTCTTTGCAGCTGCGAGGTACTGCACCACTGGTGTAAAAGAGAAAAACAAACCAAAAAAAAGTCAATGTTTGTGGTGATTTTGGGTTTTTTAAGGAGGACGTGACGTGTGGCCAAGTATGGTGTCACATACTTGGAATTTGTGCTCTGCATTTAACCCTGCCCCAAGACTGCCCCTAGCCTTGGTTATTAAAATCTGCATGCTTCTCAGCTAAATAATACATTTGTATTCCTTTTTTTCACAAATCAACATTTCTCTTGACTTTTTCTTTAATTTTGGGTGAATTTAGTGTGTGATCCACAAAGGATACTTGTAATCTTAAAAGGCAGCATTTTTACAGATGCTTTCTGCCTATTATAGACATTTGGCTAATTTCTCCGCAAAAACGTTGTCATAATGTTAGCGTGGAAATTGCTTTTTGTTCGAATGGATAAGTGATAATTCTGTCTTTTTTCACTCGTCAGTATTGTCAAATAGTTCAGGTAATGAAAAAAATCACAGAGTGCAGGATATTACTGCATGCCTGCCGTTGTTCATATCAATATTACTTCTGAGGGGGACAAAAGAGTCTGTTCTCACTCACAGATTGACAGAAATCCCCAGTTAAAACTCTCCACTCATGTGTGTACAGCAAAATCTCCTTGACATACACGCAGGCCAAAATTAACATGGTACAAACTGACAGAGAAAGAAAAAATTATCAAAATTCCATTGTCGGAGACAAAGTTATAATTTTAATAAAATTCTAAGAAAAATAATCATTGTTATAAAACTATATATATATATATATATATATATATATTTCAAAAAAAGAAATATCTTACTGACCCCATTTTTCTTTAAAAACACAGACATTCTGCTGTCTAATGATCATGTGTCTGTTTTCAGGTGCGTGTTTTGCGGGAGAGGCTCTCGGGACATGAGAATCTGCCGTATAAAGAGGATCTGGAGACGGCACTAGAGCAGTGTTTCTTCTGCCTGTATGCTTACCCGAGCAAGAAGAACAAAGCCCGATACCTCGAGGAGCATTCTGCCCCACAGGTGCACTCACAATGACAAATGATATGAGCATGTTTTACACACTTACCTTTCTGAATGTCACTGATGTGCACAATTCTTCAGTGTATGCAAGATAATAAATGTTTGTTTTCAACATCTTTCATCAAAATAATAGCTTACTCTTTGTTCAAAAAACCAAGGCCATGCAGACAAAGTAAAATCATATTCATCACTAATACAAACCTTTATAATATCCTGCTTCACTCAGAAATGTCACATAACAAAGTGAAACTGAATGTTTCTTTACATATACATTCATTAATTTAGCAGACTCTTTTTTTTTTTTTTTTTAAGGAGGCAATAACAGGAGAAGGGCTAGCAATACAAAGTTTCAACAAGCTGTCACAGGGGGGAATATAAGAAATTGTGACAGCATAGAAGTGTTTTTTAAGAGACAGCAGAGTCTCGTTATAAGGATAGTTGACCAGAAATGAAAATTTTCCCTCTATTGAAAGTCCACGCAACCATTTGATATTATTGTTTGATGTGCAAGAACCAATTATGTAAATGATATGACAGAAAATGATGACAAAATGTAAATTTTGGGGTGAAATAAACTTTTAAGCTAGGGTTTAAGCTGTTCTTTTAATAAATTAGCTCGCAACGGTACGGCAACTACTAACAAAAGCATTGTAATTTTTGTCGTTATCAAACTGAAAACACATTGAAAAAGGCTGAATGGCTTTTTTTGGTCCAGACAGTGTTATTGATTCATGACCCAGATGTTTATGTAATGTATCGCCAGGTCCGTGCTGATTTAGGAACAATTTAGTCTCAAGCTGACTTTTTTCAATGCATTTGATTCAATTCATTAAACTGAATCAACTTCCCAATTCTGCTTGATAGAGAAGACAGTCAAGGAGAGTGTGGTTGATTCACTTGTTTTTCTATGCCTTTTCTCGTTCAATATACTTTGTGTAATCACTCAATGTTTTCTGCCCACTAAACGGCTCTGAATGTTTCATGAACAACAATGATTGTCACACTAAACCATTACATGTTGGGAAAAACTGTAAATAAAGCTGTGATATTTTAGCTTTGATATGATATGCTACCACAAATTGTAGTGAAGTCAATGGTTTTGACTTCAGAGTCATGTTAGGGAATTACCGAAGTCTCCTGCGTACGCCTTTTATGTCTTGGATATCTAAGAAGCTTTATAAAGAGAGAAGGAGAACTGTCCCTGTGCTAGTGAAGGTAGGTGGATGTTGGGTAGGATGAGCTGGCGGTCTGTTTCAGCAATAATTCAGTGATTGATTATCTTTTGGCAGCAGGAGTCACATTGATCATTTAGCCACCCACACACCAATTATGCAGGACTGCTCTGTACACAGGAAATGCTGTGTACACCACCGAAGTACATTACCTAGGTGTTCTGCACCTATTCCTGTGTCTCTGGAGGAAACAGATTGCGTTGTGTAGATGCTGCTTGTGTTTTTGCAGGCATCTAGCAAATACTGAACTGCGCTTAGTCTTTGCAGCTGCGAGGTACTGCACCACTGGTGTAAAAGAGAAAAACAAACCAAAAAAAAGTCAATGTTTGTGGTGATTTTGGGTTTTTTAAGGAGGACGTGACGTGTGGCCAAGTATGGTGTCACATACTTGGAATTTGTGCTCTGCATTTAACCCTGCCCCAAGACTGCCCCTAGCCTTGGTTATTAAAATCTGCATGCTTCTCAGCTAAATAATACATTTGTATTCCTTTTTTTCACAAATCAACATTTCTCTTGACTTTTTCTTTAATTTTGGGTGAATTTAGTGTGTGATCCACAAAGGATACTTGTAATCTTAAAAGGCAGCATTTTTACAGATGCTTTCTGCCTATTATAGACATTTGGCTAATTTCTCCGCAAAAACGTTGTCATAATGTTAGCGTGGAAATTGCTTTTTGTTCAAATGGATAAGTGATAATTCTGTCTTTTTTCACTCGTCAGTATTGTCAAATAGTTCAGGTAATGAAAAAAATCACAGAGTGCAGGATATTACTGCATGCCTGCCGTTGTTCATATCAATGTTACTCCTGAGGGGGACAAAAGAGTCTGTTCTCACTCACAGATTGACAGAAATCCCCAGTTAAAACTCTCCACTCATGTGTGTACAGCAAAATCTCCTTGACATACACGCAGGCCAAAATTAACATGGTACAAACTGACAGAGAAAGAAAAAATTATCAAAATTCCATTGTCGGAGACAAAGTTATAATTTTAATAAAATTCTAAGAAAAATAATCATTGTTATAAAACTATATATATATATATATATATATATATATATATGTAGTATAGTTTTGTTGGTTGGAAATATTTATGATTAATAAAATCTCAATTTACAGGCAGGTAGGTTAATTTAGTGGCAAAAAGTTAATGTTGAACCAATGTTGTCATTGTTGACTAAAACTAAAACTATTAAAAATAATTTTCGTTAACTGAAATAAATCTGAAATGAAATAAAATTTAAATATTAGATGAATATGTTCAACTTAAAATGCTTAAATGAAAATTACAAATACTGCAATGGAAGTTAACTAAATTAAAATTGAAATAATAAAATGACTAAAACTAAAATAAAAATGAATTAAAGCTAAACACAATACTAATAATGATAAAAGCAAATAACAATATAACTTAAACTAAAACTTAAATGAAAACTGGATGTATTAAAATAAATGCCAATTCAAAAAATGAATAAATACTATAATAATATATGAATAATCCTAAAATAAAACTGTTTTGGACCCTGAGTACATAGTGTTGATACATCTCTCCATCTCTTCCGGTCTCTAGGTGGAGCTTCATTGGGATGATGCCGTCTTTATGTTTGAGTACTTTAAACCCAAGACCTTGCCAGAGTTTGACAGCTATAAGACCAGCACTGTCTCTGCTGACCTTGCCAACCTGCTTAAAAGGCTTTCTGGAATAATCCCACGCAACGACGGCCCCACAATCTCTGTAGACGATGTGTCTGCTTATATCGAAGGATGTGCTCTCAAGGTATGAGCTCATCGACTTTCATGCGTTCATATATAGATCTTTTTTATCTCTTCATCTGTCACTTAAAAGTATATCTCTTTCTACAAGGTGCCAGCACTTCCAGAAGGAGCTTCCCCGGCGCCCCCTGTGGTTAACGAGCTGTTCTACCTGCTAGCAGACTACCACTTCAAAAACAAAGAGCAGTCGAAAGCCATCAAGTTCTACGTGCACGACATCTGCATGTGTCCCAACAGGTCTGTGACCGTTTTACATTTGAAGTTTTTAACATGAATGTAGTTAGCTCAGCTGTAGGTGACTGTTGTCTCTCCGTCTCTCACGTAGGTTTGACTCGTGGGCAGGCATGGCACTGGCACGCGCCAGTCGCATCCAGGACAAGCTGAACTCCAATGAGCTCAGGAGTGACGGACCCATCTGGAAAAACTCTCTGGCAGTGCTGACCTGTTTCAAACGGGCTCTGGAGATAGACAGCTCCAACCTCTCCCTATGGATCGAGTATGGTACCATGTCCTATGCCTTGCACTCTTTCGCTTCCAGACAGCTCAAACAATGGAAACACGAACTTCCTCCTGACTTGATCAAACAGGTACTTCTGTTTGTATAGATGAAGAGTGAGAGAGACATGCTATTGTGTACAAAACAATTTATGAGTGTGTGTTAAAAAAACTAGAAATAAGAGATCTGTGTCAGTTACTGTTTTGTTTGATTTTAAAGATGGAAGAGCGCAGGGACTCGATGTTGGAGACGGCGTCGCAGTGCTTTCAGAGCGCCTCACGCTGTGGCGGTGATGAGGAGGAGTGGCTCATTCACTACATGCTGGGAAAGATTGCAGAGAAGCACAAACTGCCGCCCAAAGACTACCTGCAGCTATTCAAAAAGGTGATGAGCTGGGATACTGCTGGCCTGGTGGATAGTCTGATTGGCTATTGAGAATGCATGACATCTATCACCAGGGTTGTTTAATGGCGTTTTTAGACCTGTAGATTGTTTGCTTTGTTCCAAAATGGGAGCTTAATTTGTTATAAAATTGCAGTTTCTTTTTGGTTTGTTTCGCTTCAAGTTAAATCAAGTCACCTTTATTTCTATAGCACTTTATAAAATACAGATTGTGTCAAAGCAGCTTCACAGAAATAAACGGGAAAATAGCAGAATCAATTATGGAAACGCAACTATGAAGATAATTCGGATTCTGCTGTAAAGCAGCTCTTGAAGACAATAGTGTCAATATAATAAGTCAATTGACAAAGTTTAATTAAGTCAGTTTGGGTCAAAGCATACCAAAATGTGCCACATGTGAGGGGGTGTTTACATGACACAATTTTCAACTAAAAACCGAAAAACGGTTTGTGTTTTGGCTGTTCATTTACATGGCAACAGTGTTTGAGTGCCTCATAATGCAAGCTTTTGAAAACGATTTCAAAGTGCCCCCGTTTTTAAAACGTGGTTAAAAACGATACCGTTATCGTCTCCATGTTAACTACAAAAACATCATGCAGATACGTGTTCAGTCTGTAGGCATGCGCGAGTGTCTTTACAAAGTGACATCGCCAACTAGTGGCCTGGCAAACATAATACAGCGTTTTAGCTGTTTTCGCGCATTCGTGTAAATTGGAAACATTTTGACACCATTGTCATGTGTAGGCAAACTTTTTAAAAATGCTAAGAAAAAGCATTTCCATTTTTAGTACATTGTTGCATAAATGTACCTGGAGTAAATCTATCGTCTCGTTGGTCAGAGTGCATCTATTTATGTTCTGGGATTTCACTCATAGCGTCATCCATCAAAATTGACAAGTTAACTCCATGGGTTCCATTGTGGCTGTAACTGTAACTGTTGTTGACACACGCACACACACACACACACACACACACTTATACGAATGTAAATAAGCCTTCATTCCTGCTCCACCTCATTAAATTTATATAGAGATATATATAATGCATTTCCCATTAACTCTGATGCTGCTTGGTTTGTTGGTCTGTTGGATCGGATTGATTTGATTTCTCACCACAACCGAGCCGCTCCACAGTTCCATGTCAGTTGGACTGAGAGAGACCAACTTATTCAGGCAATCTCAGATTGATTGTTTTGGCGTGGATCCGGGCATATTGCATATAGTGTTTATATGCCTAAATGATCTGAACTAAAGAAAAAACTTGCCAGGTTCCTAAACAAATGCTCTAAACCAGTCAGGTGTGAAAACACGTTAACAGTTCAGTGATACAGTTTGAGAATGATTAGGACACTCCGACATAAGTCTACTTTTAGTCACTTGATTGCAAACTCACCTTCAGGTCTGACTCTGTTTTGGAATGAAATGCCCACTTTTTTTAGTTAATTATTGGTGGATGTATGAAGAATGTATGAAGCATGTAAGGCTGTTGCTGGGGTTTTATGTGTGAAAGTGGCTGCTGACCGCCCAACAGTCAGACACGCATCTCATTACAGCCCTTTTGTCATCTCCCTCCAGTCTGCACACTACCTGCATGAGGAAGCAGCCAGATACCCACGCAAAATCCACTACCACAACCCACCTGACCTCGCAATGGAGTCCTTAGAGGTATGTAGTGAAGTAGAGCTCCTTTGTGCACTACTGTTCAAAAGTTTGGAGATGGTAAAAGTGTTTTTGCTCACCAAAGTTGCATTTATTTGATAAAAAATAAAGTAAAACAGTAATATTGTCAAATATTATTACAATTGGAAATATTTGAATGTTCTATTAATGTTTTCTATTTTAATTTATTCCTGTGATCAAAGCTGAATTTTCAGCATCATTACTCCAATCTTCAGCGTCACATGATCCTTCAGAAATCATTATAATATGCTGATTTGCTGCTCAAGAAACATGTCTATTTATTAGCAATGTTGAAAACAATTGTGCTGCTTAATATTTTATAGCATATTTTTTTCAGGATTCTTTGATGAATAGAAAGTTCAAAAGAACAGCGTTTATTTAAAATGTAAAAATCTTTATTGTGATCAATTTAATACATCCTTGCTGAATAAAAGTTTTCTTAAAAACAAAACAACACTGACCCCAAACTTTTAAATGGTAGTGTACTGCAAGTACTCCTATACTATGACAAAATGTCAGTTAAGCACAAGTTGCGTTTGAGTTCTTCCTGAAATATATCTCTTCTCTTACTTCCGACTGGCCAGCTGTTTTTCCGCCTGAGCGCCACCATTCTGAAGTTGCTGGAGAATGAGGAAGATGATGGTGAACAATCTGAGCAGCAGATGAAGCTACTAGATTATGAGCTGTTCTTCAACATGCTCGCTGAAGCTGCTGTCGGACCCTTTGCACGCGGAGAGGAAAAGACCGCACCCAAAACCAGCATCGACAAGTATGACCACAAACCTTTTAGGCCCCGTTTACACTAGTGCGTTTTCGTTTTAAAATGGCATTTTAAAATGAAAATGTTCCTCGTCTACACTGGCGTTTCTGAAATGATCTCCATCCACACTACACAACTGAAAACGCATGTCACATGACCATTCATGCAGGTACAACCATAGATATGTATAGCTAGATGCCCTATTATTTAGATGGCAGACGTGTCTGTGTGCTTGGAGTGGTCGAATGGGGAATCTACCAATCCTCTTTTTTCTTCACATAAAAATGGGCCATTTGTAAATTGTATGGGTCTTGCTTCCTTATTTTAGTGTAGTATCTTAATTATGAACACACTGGTTTTTACCGTTTACTGCACATTGTTATTCTTCTCGTTATTTCCCTATAGCGGCTAATGAACCGGACGTCTCACCCATAGGCTTACTTCCGCGTTTAGGAATAAGGTGTATACAAATCTATGGGTACCACAATGAGCATGATGTTATTGTTTACACGGCCGTTAAGGATACGCAGAGCGAATGTGAGCAGCCACGCCATCGTTTTCAAAAGTCTCCGTTTTGGTGCGTTTACACTGAACGTGTACACTGCTTACACGTTTTAGTTTGAAAGAGTTTTCAAACTAAAACGGGGTCTGCAGCGTTTTCAAAAGTCTCTGTTTTCGAGAGTCTGAAACGCCGGAGTAGTGTAAATGACAGGCGTGACCGTAGCAAAACGTATGCGTTTTAAAACTAAAACGTACTAGTGTAAACGTAGCCTTAAGCTTTAGGCCTGGAGGGCTTAAGATCGTAAAACATAGACTAAGATTTCAATGGATTACAGCTGTATATCAAAAACGTTAAAGAGACTTTTTAAGATGTTCTTTAAAGGTGTTAAAACAACCCTACGTTTAATAGAATCTTTCTGTGTTTTTGTTTTGTTAACACCGTTTTTCTCTTCTCCCAACAGGGAAAAGCTTCCATCCATTAACGATGAGGACTCGCGGTCCTCGATTGGCGTGAGTACCTGTCAGGCAGCGTTGGCCACCTCATCTGTCACATCTGTGGTGGCTCCAACAACTTCTTTGCCTGGCGACGGTGCGGCAGGTGCGAGTTCTCCCCAGTACACGGTCACTCCGGTCGACCACGATTACATCAAACGTAAAAGCCTGAAGCAGAGGCACAGGCAGGGGCAGGAGCTCCAGCAGCAGCAGCCGCAGGACGGTACAGTACAAGGGCCAGAGTATAACTCACTCACTCACGCACTCACTCATGCACGGGGGAATGAGGATGATGAAGGTTATTCACCACTATGAAATTGAATTATGGGCTCTGGTGTACAATAACATCTCCTCCCACCCTTCCTCTTACCATCTGCACCAGGCCATAGAGGATCATGGGGAAATGGGCAACATTGCTAACAGTGTCTCAGCATTGTTGCTTTTTTATTCTTTATTCGCTTTGTTTCAGTTCCACTTTGTCATTTCTAGCCTTCAGGTAATGAAATCAGATTTTCAGTCAGAATGGTTTACGTTTATTCGTTGTTGTTTAAGCTGCTGAATTGCTTTACATCGTACGCACCCAGTCCACCGAAATACCATCATTTTGTGGTTTCCGCTGTTTTATTTGCGCTTGCCGTTCTTGCTCAAATTATGAATGTGCTTCACAGTTGTTTGCCCAGTAAATCATGTCTATTTTTTATTTGATTGGTTGTCAACAATTTAAGGCAGCAGATGCTAGCTAGCACATCTTGTGCTGTAGGTAACCTAAATTTCATCATGGTTGGCCATTTATTAAATTTTTAATTAATTAGGTCAGAAGTGCAGCAATGGTGTGGTGGAAGCTTCTGAGCAATGCAGTTCCTTTTGGCCTTATAGGAGTAGTATATATAATTTTTTTGGATGTCATGATGGCTTAAATTTTCACAATGCTCTGTTTTAATGAAAATGTACTTTATCTCAATAATTCAATGTAGTAAGACAACTTAGTAAATTGCTGTCTCAGCTTAGTGTTCTGCTAGTTTTCTTAAGTTGACATAGTGTCTTATTTCGACAAGATAATTATTTCAACTCAGTAAGTCAACTTAACATCTTGTCATTTCAACTTAGTATTTAATTAATTACATAAATGTAAGTCAACTTAGTATCTTATTTTTGATGTAGTATTTTATTATTTCATCTTAGTAAGTTGACTTTGTATCTTTAAAGTGTTTTATGGCAACTTATTGAAGTGACTTCATATATCTGTATTTTTACTAAGTAAAAATGAATTTTTTTTAATTAATAATTTTTGCTTTGTAATTTCAAATCGAGTTAGTCGTTTGTAATTTTAATTTAGTATCTTGTTTTTTTTTTGACAAAAGTAGTTTGTCATTGTCAACTTAGAAAGTTGACTGTTTCTAGTTATTTGGACTTTTTTTTTAGTATGGTAAGTCAACTTCATGTTTTATTTCAACATAGTATTAGATAGCTGGCCAAGTAATGATGGAGTGCTGAGCATGAATGACAAGTTAGTTATCTGACTTAATATTTTGTTGTTTCTATTTAGTAAGTCAACTCTGTCTTGTTATTTTGAGTATTTTTTGTCATGTCAATGTAATAAGTCAACATAGTGACTTTTGTCATTCATTTACTTTGGCAAGGGTTGTAATAACAAAAAAAATTGTTAAATTAAATTTTATGAATCAAAAAGCATGTCTAATTAATTAAAATCATGAAACTTAAACAATTTAACATCAATTTATTAAAAGTTTAACAAAAAGTACATGTATAGGGCCCTATGAAATGTTTTCTTTTTTCCAACCTTATGTTTTATTGTTACCAATTTCTGATTTAGCATGTCTAATTATTTGAAAGCATAAAAACAAGTTTAATTTATTCATACAATAGCCTTATGATTTTTTGCTCAGAAATTCTGTGTTGTGTATTTACATTTTTAAGGCATAAAATATTAATTTAATCTATCTTTTAAGTAATGAAAATTGAACAAATTTAATTTTTTGGAAAATCATTTAATATTACAATTAAAACATTGAAGAAATATCGTATAATTATTCCTTAAAAATAAGGTTTTAATAATTTTAGTAGTAGTAGTAGCAGCCTGTTACGTACATTCTACTCAACAATAGTAATATATTTCTGCCAATGCCCTCAAGTTAAACCAAACTTTTATTTTGACAGGTTGCCATGAATACCATTACATTTCTGTGTGTATATGATATGAGGATAGTTTTACTGAAATGAAATGGTCAAATGCTCATGAAGTGACTCTCAGAGCAGTTCTGGAGATGTTGTTCATGTATTTATGTCCTCATTTAATTAGACGGCAGACGCTAAAATCACTGAAGCGTCATGCACGCTTCAGTACAAGTGGTAAACAAAACCGCATGTCTGCGCCATTCATTAACACAGAGACACAAAGAATTCATATTTAAATAGTCGTTTTGCGGCTTAATATTTACAAATACTAGTTGTGAGTGTGCTCACTTGCCATTGGGGGGGGGCAAGCCGCCCCCTAATATAATGGCAGGGGAAACACTGGACTGATATGTCACAAACAATGTTAACCATTTGCGCATTCTCTAACACGCATATTTTAGATTAATTTAAAATCCTCTGGTGTGTAAAAATAGTAAATATCATCGTCTTCCTGTTTTTTTTTTTACCCTAATAAAAGTTATAGGAGCATTAAATAGTTAATAAAGAAACTTCATTCTAATGCTCATTATATTAGCGTTAGCCACGCTTATGCTAACGACTAACTACTCTAATAACAGCGATGTTCATTTCAATCCGACATTCAAATTAATATATTTAATAACATTCATAACAGAAACGGTGTTTCCCACAGACTTGCACTCTTTTTGTGGCGGCATATATATGCAAATTCGTTCTCTGCCAGCAGGAGGCGCTTGTAGAGCAGGAGAGATAGACGTTTCCCCGGTAATGCTGTAATCGAATAAGGGCTGCGCTACGCTCACAAATGCTGCTCAGGCATTACAGGCAAGATTAAAGGAAAATGACTGATCATTTTCTGAAGACAGTCAGTTTCCTTCAGAAATACAGTGATATAAAAACACCTGCACCGGGTTTCGACTTTGACACGTGCAGTGCTCATGTTTATTCAACGAAGTCAAAGCCTTTTGGAAAATCTATTTGTGGCGTTGAGTTTTGATACTGTGGCAGGCACCACAAATAAATCAATGTATGGGAAACACTGAGAAGATCTAATTATTAAAAATTAAATTAAAATGAAACTTACCTGCTTGAACTCTTTCATTTGATCTGGGTGTCGGTCTTTAAAGTGTTTTGTTAGTTTGGTGTGTTTCCTCCTTTTGAGGTGCTTTTATGAAGAGAGCGCATCTGCGCAGCTTTCGGATAGCGCATCAAGAACCATGTTGACCGGGTACTCGGTACCACCGGTACTTAAAAAAAAAAACTGGTACCGTAACGTTTTCATTTTTTAATACCGACTTGGTACCGAAGTACGGGGTCTTTTGACAACACAAGCTAAATTTGGTCTCTAATGTTTAAAATGTCATAGTGCTCTTTGCCAGCTTTTAGCATTTCTGTACTGTGGTAACTTCTATCAGTTCTCCAGTTTAGCCATGCTTTTGAGAGGTTCAGTATCACAAAACTATTATTCCAAAATAATATGAAAATGAATTCTTCTCATCTCATTTCAAATTCACAGTTTGGATATTTGAGTTTGAGATGTTTTTTTTTTTTTTTTGTAGTAGTAGTAGTAGTTTGAAAGGGGGCATTGCATAGGACACTTGATTAAATATTGCTTGTGGCCTGTTTTGATGAAATGGAGTCAAATTTATGGAAATCTAAACGAAATTGCGATTAAATCGTTCAGTTTAGTGCTCTGTGATCTGTAGTAAATGCTTGAGTTGTAAATGATTGACCCGCTTATAACGCGCATTTGAAAAAGGAACACGAGTCAAACATCTTTCCAAACATGAGAAGCATTTACGAACCTATTGTCCAAAAGACAACGTTTAATAACACGTTTTTACTCCAAACTCACTTCATAACGTCAGTCGAGTGTTTGAAATAAAATCCTTCTGTTAGATGATGTGGCTTCTTACACAGAATGAGGCACGCAACATATTATTTCTAGGCAGGGCTCGCAAAATTTCAAAATCCCTGGTAGCCCTTCAGGCAGGTACTCTTCAGATTTTGGTAGCCCGAAAATTTGTTTAACTAGCCCAAATACCTTTTTTTTTTTAAATATAGAAAATCAGATAGGAGTTTAAATGTCAATCAAAAATATTTTCAGTCAACAAATATCAAAGGGGTCATATGATGCTTTTTTAAAGATCATTATTTTGTGTATTTGGTGTAACAGAATATGTTGACATGCTTTAATGTTCAAAAAACACATTCTTTTTCAAATACTGTACATTATTGTAGGTTCTCTATGCCCCGCCTCTCTCAAACGCTTCGTTTTCTACAAAGTCCCTCCTTCCGACAAGCGCAGTCTGCTCTGATTGGCCAGCTGACCCAGTGCATTGTGATTGGCCGAACACCGCAAGCACTCGTCGGAAATGTAACGCCCCTTACCATAATTGCGAGCTTCGTCTTTCAAAATAAATGTAAATGACATGTTTCATTCATACTGGACACCGGAGGGCACCCACGCGCAGACTCCACATATACATCACACAAGTAACAGAACTCATGACGCTCCAGGAAATTCCTAATATGGACAAAGGCATTGCTGTCGCTGGTACTGAGTAAACCGAATATATAAACGTTTTGAATAATGCAACAGAGACAATAAACACTCGACTGCGAAAATATATGGTTTATCTGTGTTCTTCAAGTCATCTTTGTTTTGTTTTTTTCTAATAATTATATTTATAATCCATTGCTAATCGACATAGCCTTTTTACAGTATGGAACATATTTTCTGCCTCATTCTGTGATGAAAAGCAACATCAGATCACAAAAGGAAGCATTTGACCGGTATTAGAGCTTTCTGACTTGCGTTCACTTGCGTTTTCTCAGTCGGGAAATAATTTTTCCCATGCGGTGCTGGTGATTACATCTGTTTCGGAGAACCAGAGGACAAATATATCGATCGCTCAGGCATTTAAGTCGCACCGAAATGAGTTGCTAAAAGTTGCTAAATGACGTTGTGATGTAATTGCGCAATGACGTCATCATGTAATTATGATGCAAAATTGTCACTGCATCAAATCTCAGCAAAAAACATTTTGTCAATTTTAGATTTGTTTGTAAAATAATATAAATGCATAATATAATAATATATAATAAGTAACTGTATTTTTAATACAACATTGACTTATTGAACACTTGCACATTTTTGAACAATTACAATTTAAGTTTTTTTTATTAGCTATAAAGCAAAACTACACATTCTGAACAATTATAGTGTATTAGTAGTTAGTATGCGACACTAAGTCTGTAAAAATAGTCCTGCTATGTTAATATGAAGGAATTTTCCATATTGATTTTTCACAGGTTTTTCATTGTATTTTGTGTTTTCAGCTTACAGGTTATAATGGATAATGTCTTGGAAAATTACTAGTACCTTTACCATTTTTAAAAATATTTTTCTTACAGTGTACTAACTGATCAGCAACGACTTTGATATCATACACCAATCGGGTCTGCGCAGCGCTGCTTCAAGCCGAACACACCTAATTATTATTGAACAATTGCAACTTTTTTTGCAAACTTAATTCATGTGATGTGTGTACTGCTAGGCATCTTTGGTTTCCTCTTTTTGTGTAATTTAGATGAAAACGTGTACCTTTTGATCATTTGAGTGACTTATCAAAAGTTTCGAAAAGTTGCCAAATACATTTTTAAAATAGCTAAAGTTGTTGCTAGGTGCTTTTGGAAGAAAAAGTTGCTAGGGTAATCTGAGAATCTGCTAAATCTACCAACAAAATAGCTAAATTGGCAACACTGTTTATTCAGCTACCGCTATATGGGATTTTCCTGGAACAACGTGCTAATTATATAAAAAATTATATTAAAGAGCTAATTATATAAAAACAGGCAATTGAAACAAAATAGTTTGCTTTGAAACGTTACATTCCATAGTATGACCGACTCTTAACTGCTCCTTTTTAATTGCAGATCAAATTATTTGAAGTGTTTCACAATTTATGAAAAAATATTATTATAATTTAAAACATCATAAAAATCATATAGATATGTCGTAAATAGTGGGAATAGCAGTTACTAGAATAGTTGAATAACATATTTGATTCACTCGCAAGATGAATATGGAGATGAAATGGATTCTTTTTAAACATTTTTAACTTGAGCACTCATGACGTAAGATGCTGAAAAAACAGCGAAACTGTGCAAGAACACACTTCATGAGTGAGAGACACATAAGAGGTGTGCGGTTTTTTTATTGGCTGTTATTTACTCTTTCTGTATTGATAATTATTTACATTTTTCCAGTTATCTGTGAATAATAATATCCCATAAAATAATATATTATTAATGATATGTAGTGTGGCACTGATTGGTTTCATGTTGTATTTGTTTAATTATTTTTTTGTGGCTGGCCTCATCTCATTGCCTCACTGAAACCTTCACAACGGCTTGCTGCAGATTTGAAGTGTGAATTATTATTATTTTTTTTAAAGGTGAACATTGTGACATGTTGCCCATATTCCTCAGTCGTTCCCATGGCCTGCTTTAGTCTCCCTGTTTCCCTGCTGCCTCCTGCCTGCTCCCTCTCTGCCTGCCTCTGACCTGCTTCCCACCTGCTGCTTCTTAATGGATGCATGATGGGTCAGCACCCTGATTCAACAAAGACTTCCCATAATGCACTCCACACTGCTCTGTGTGCAAACTGACATCTGACCAACGTGTCTGCTGTGGCTCTCACATGCAAGGGAGATTGTTCTTGTGGGTTGTTCTGAATAATGTGGTTTGGTAAAGACAGTGGGAAGTTTTAACTGCTTTTTCTGCAAATGTTGGTGTGTGGATGAGTTTAGCTTCTTATTAGCTGAAACAAGAATTCGAGACTTGATGAATTCACTCTCTTATTGTATGATTGTTGATTTTAAAGGCCCTGATATACTCACAGTGAAGTTCTTTTTTTTTGTTCTTTCGTTTAGATGAATATGTGAATGTGCTGCGTGTTTTCCTTTCAGTAACAAAATAGACAATAATTGGAGATTTGCATGCCAGTGAAGGCAGAGCTCCTGAACTCCCAAAATTATCTCAAAATGAAACTCGCTTTGGCTTAATTTTTGTTCGAAATGCTGTCACACTACTTCAGTCTTGGCTTTTGCTTGAAGTATATCGGGGCCTTAATGGGTGGATGTCACGAAAACACATGCAGGTCTTATTTCAACTCAAAATCAAAAGAAAATATATTCTGAATGAAGAAGATGATGCCTGTTTTTGCGTTGAGGCATCATTTTCAACACAAGCACAATTTCCCCCCAAAACATGGTGAAATAGGACTCAGGCATGGCTAGGTTTTTGTGAGATTCACTCTAATAACCTCTAAAAGCTGCCCATTTCTCATCACAACAGAAAATGAAAGATCTCCTCTATTTATGCTACAGTGGTACCCAAAATATACAACTGAATGACTTTCCAGATTATGAAACGTGTTCTAAATTGAATTTCCTCTACAGCTGACTTCTCACATGACCATGACTAGATATTCTGAATGAAGAAGATGATGCCTGTTTTTGCGTTGAGGCATCATTTTCAACACAATTAAGCACAATTTCCCCCCAAAACATGGTGAAATAGGACTCAGACATGGCTAGGTTTTTGTGAGATTCACTCTAATAACCTCTAAAAGCTGCCCATTTCTCATCACAACAGAAAATGAAAGATCTCCTCTATTTATGCTACAGTGGTACCCAAAATATACAACTGAATGACTTTCCAGATTATGAAACGTGTTCTAAATTGAATTTCCTCTACAGCTGACTTCTCACATGACCATGACTACTGCCTGTGTCTCTCTGCTTTGCGGCCAGGATCTGTGTATGGTACAGACACCCTTCCTCGCACAACCGATAGCACAAAACTGCTGGCTCACCTATCATTCCTCAAAAGCAGGGCTCTAGTTTCCTAACGAACTCCAGTGGTCAAGCACCCCGAGCACCATAGTGCTCAACAGTGACTATGCATTAAGTTTTACAGAGGGCTTGGCTTCCATTTTCCCTTTTGGAATTTCAGAAAATTGTTTATTACAGAATTTTAAGCCTTCAAGCAAACCAGACAGCTTAGGGATTAGGGCTGCACGATAAATCACATGCGATTGTCATGCGCATCTCGTAAGTAAAGCCGGTTCTGTGATTAGTAGTAAATCTCCACCACGTGCTTTCAGATGGAGCAGCATTTAATAAACAGAGCTGTAGTTCACTGACAAGCTACGCAATATCGCGTTCATAAGTTCGAAGGCGATTCATCTGCGATTATGAACACGATATTGCGTATATATATATATATTATTGATTGTGACGAGAGGGGCGGGACCGAGAGCCGTGGGAACAGAGTGAGGCCGGTGGAGTAATTGATAATGAGCGACACCTGCACCACTCGTCGTCTTGAGTCTCACGGAGGAGCTCCGGAAGAATAAAAAGGAGGAGTGACGACAGTGAAAGACGAGAGAGGACCAGGCCTGGAGTTATTTTGTGTTTTTGTTTTTGTTTGTCCGCGACAGTCGTCTGCGAGGGGCTGTCGTGCTGTTTTGTGTTTGTTTATTTTATTAAAGTTTCTTTGAATGTTCGCCGGTTCCTGCCTCCTCCTTCCCGACCTACAAACGTTGTTACATTGGTGCCGAAACCCGGGAGGAAGGAGGGACACGCTGTGTCAGAGAGCCCTCGCTGCTGAGGGGGATCGTGGTGCTGAGGAGATCGGGCAGCAGGAACAAGCGGAGAGACCGCCGGTGGCTGCCCGAGGCGGTGGTGCTGGAACTATGGAAAACGAGGTGAGACGGAGAGCTTGCTGCCGCGCTCCTGGGTCGAGGAGGGGTGGCTGCCGTCCGTTATGGAGCGGAGGAGTCTGCCCATTTGCCAGGAGGCCGGAGCCTGCTGCCATCCGCCATGATTGGGGAGGAGCAGGGAACGGGGGACTCGCTGCCGGCTGCCCACAATAGGAGGAGCCATCGCCATCCGCCAGGAGGCGGAGGAGCGGTGGGCC